ATTCTTTTGATTCTTCTCTTCACACTTTATCTGAGTCTAAATCTGTACAATCTGACCTGCTACTTCTGTGTTCTAAGATCTTAGAACATTCAGAACACTACCTAGCCCTGTTTACTACTTAGTAGTTTGTCTGTAGTATTAAGTAGGGATGGTCTTAGCTGAGTTTACAATTAAAAACATAGGTCTGTCCTTGTTGAAAGAGAGAGGTTAATAAGGAAATGTTAGTACATATACTCACCCTCTTAGACAATAAGACTGTGTAAGCTGTACATTCCCTTCAGAACAAGTAGTAGTTCATTTAAGAATGTTTTAAACACTAGCTCTAAGTTCCTGTCCTCTTAGCTCCCTTCTCAGGATCCTCTCAGATCTGAACAATAGCTCTAGTAGACAGTAGATATACTAGTTTGTGTATTAATAAGGCCTTTGTGTAGGAACACTACCTTCCTACTTAATGTGTTTCACTTCTAATCCTAGTATACAATACAGACAGAACCCTAAACCAGAATAGTTAGATTACTGAGTTTGTCCAACTACAGATGACTATTTAGGATCATAAGGAAAGTATTAAGTTCAGAGTCACTAACCTTAGGAAGACAGACATCTTTATTAGATTCAAATGGCTCAAGACTCACAACCCTACTATTAACTAGTTAGAGTAGACACTTGTGTTCAATCAGTGTCCTAAGTCTTACAGCTACCTTATACTACTGTTCTGAGTGAATATGGACACTTCTAATGTTACTAACAGTTCTGATAAAGGTGACTAGTTGTTCTTCTTTGACTAGGATAGATATGTGGACACATATTCTAGTCAAGACAGAACAGAGTCAATCTGAAGAATGTTTAAGACAGAACTAGTCTAGAACCCTCTCAGAACAACTCTACTCTAGAACACACATAGACCCAGCCTGCTGGATTTTGTCTAAGAGTTCCCTGAAGTCTTTAGTAAAGAGGAATTTGACCAGCTTTCTAAACACTATCTTTAGGACTATACAATTGAATTAACTAAGGGTTTCCAACCTAAGGATTGTAAGGTCTACCTACTCAACAGAGACAAGCAGGAGGTGCTTGATGAGTTCCTTTAGGAAAATCTTCAGAACAGCTAGATCCAACCCTTAAAGTCCTCTATAGTCTCCCCTTTCTTCTTTGTCAAAAAGAAAGATAGGAAGCTCTACCCAGTCTAGGATTATTATTGTCTTAATAAGAGTACTGTTAAAAACAAGTACCTACTCCCTCTGATTCAGGAGCTTATTAATAAGATGTATACATTCAGGGTTTTTACTAAGTTAGACATTTAATAGGAATACAATAATATTTGGATCTAAGACAGAGATGAGTAGAAGGCTGTATTCTAAACTAATTACAGATTGTACAAACCAACTATAATGTTCTTTAGACTAACCAACTTGCTTACAACATTCTAGTCATTCATGAATTACATTCTTACAGATCTGATTGACTTAGAGCATGTTAGTGTGTATCTGGACAACATTCTGATCTTCACCTAGACAGTTAAGTACTATTACTAACTAATCTGAGTAGTTCTACAACAGCTCTAAGATAATAAACTGTTCCTCTGAGAAGTAAAGTACTCTTTTGTACAGGAGTCAGTAGATTATCTAGGCTTTGTAATCAGTAGAGGAGAGGTCTGTATAGATCTAGCAAAGGTAACTGTAGTTTGGAACTGACTACAACCTTGGAACCTAAAACAGGTCCAAGCATTCCTTAGGTTTGTAAACTACTACTAATACTTTATTCAAGACTTTAGTACTATTACCTAGCCCCTTCACAATCTTACTAGCAAAGATGTTCCTTAGTAATAGG